ACTGGTCAGTTACATCTTTTTTTGTTATGCGCTTCCTTATCCTCACTTTACTGTGGAGTTTATAACTCTTCTTTTTGCCGCATAGACGGGTCATTTGTTCTTCTTTGTCAGGAAATACAAAGAAACCCAAGGCCAGGTCCACCTCTAGTCCAACACATTCTCTTTCCCCACCCATATTTTCATTTTAGCTGAAGGAGAATATTTACAGGAGGACATTTACCAGAAACCAACAGTGTCTTCCATTTATGCCATTTAAGTCCACAAACTGAATAATCAGTGGGCAAAGTTGACCTTGTAATGTTCAGTATCATGCTGCTCCATTGTCAGCTCTGCCAGCATGATGTGCAGCTATGAAGACCAGTTCTGGAGTCTGAATCTGAGGGAACAGTAGTTTGTGAAAGACACTTAACTGAGCAGCCAATCACAACAATGTTAAAACACTAATGTCTTACCTTAATTTAAATTACACGTAAACAAATAACTGTCCTTATTTACATTTGTTAAAACCTCTGATAATTTCATACTTTACAGCAGCAGAACACTCAGACTATATTTATTATATTTAGCTCCTGCTCCAAATGATTATTTTTGTTGGAATAAAAAACATGCAAAGAATTTTTTTTCGAGAAATTGCTGGCTCTGCATTTTGAAACCGTTAATTATAATGATAAAAATAGAATAAAAAGTAATTTTAACTGTAAAACTTCTGTAATAGAAAACTTTAAACTATATAATTTTAATGTGGTAATCATATTTTTTTTGAAGTAATTTAACTTCTTAATCTTTGCATTTTTGCAACACAATAGAAATATATGATCAGAAAAATTACCCAAATAAATCGAAACAGGAATACCAAAATGGCATGTACTGCTGAGAGACTACTAAAAAACAGTGCTTGACCATAAAGAACACAGTAGCCCAGGTTATACTTTCCATTAAATATCCTGAAGTAAATGGATGGATACTCTTTCATGGTAAATGTAAATGCAAAGGGTATATTTCAATAGTATGTTAAAATAGTAAGCTATAGGTTTACATTTTCCACGGGGTTTAATTTGGTAGTCGCAAAGGAAGCCATTTGGTTGATCACTTTACTCATAGGATATAAAAAAAAAGTATTTCTATTGCGGCTTTGTAAAATACGTTAATGCTTGTACAGCCAGAAAAACGCTTTATCCTAATGCATAAACCTTTTTATTAAAAAACATACATTATTTGTATGCTTTTCTTTTCTTTTATTTTTTTTTAATGGGCATGTTTAGTCAAACAAATTGACTTACTTAATTCCAATATGCACCATTGGTTTGTCAGTGGAAATGCAGCTAATGCAAGGCAGATGTGTTTTGGTCCTGATAAGTTAGGAAACGACTTCCTGCTTCAATTTTACCAATATCTGTGATAAAAACAATTATTGAAAAGAGATAATACTTATCTATATTGCCTCCATTAATGGCTGGTTGGACTGTAAACACCCTCTAAGTCTCAGCCATGAAGAACTGAAGCAAATAATTCAGTGAACTTTAATGCCATGTGCAATAAAATGTGAATTTATTTTAAGACTTAAACTGTTTACTGGTAAATAAATGTATCTCTTTGTTGAATGGTAAGTTAATTTTCTCTGCTATTGCTTCTTTTTTCTCAGTTTAACTGAACATGATATATTGTCATTTATGGTTCTAAAACGGTTGGAAATGTTATTGCTGTCCTCTTTTAATGCTTTATCAGGAATATTTCTACTTCATATAGAAGTAAATTTTAGTACAGATTTACACAGTGTTTCCTGTGTGGTTTTGAAAAAGTAATACATTGCTAAAGAATGAATAATAAATCAAGGAAATAGTGAGTCAGGACATGTTGAAGCATTCTTTCCTTTAGCCTTGCACTCTGCCAGGAATAGCTCTCCCCCTCCTCATTCCAGCAGTCACCAGTGATCTACTGTAAATGCGGAATGAGGCGCTTCAGGGGGCCGTATTGTCTTTTAAGCTCTGGCTTTAGATTTGTCACAACCTTTTAATGCTACGTCACTTATTTCTAGAGGCACTGATGAGGTTTAGGTGGGCTCACACTCCCCTGAAACACTGGCTTAACCTGACTCTGCAAACCAGAGGGGTACTATACCAGGGTGCACACAAGCCAAGAACAAGAGTGCCCCCTTCAGTTAATTCTTGGCAATTTTTACTAATGAGTGAGGCTGCTCTCCAAGATTGCATACAGCCACGCAGATGTCCAAGCACACGCAAACCAGCTTCCCACACCCCCACCCTCAATAGTTTAGTTGTTACTCAGCAAGATTTCTGGCTGGTTAAGGAGCTCGTCTCACACCCTGCCAAAGTAAGCCTAACCTCCACCTTCATCTGATCGGTTGGCTGCATGGACGGAGAAGGGGCCTGGGCTGTGGGGGTGGGCGAGAAGCCAAAAGGAAATGTGTCATCCACACTTGTCAAAGCCCCTCTAACTTCCAAGAACACACACAGACGCATTGGACTGTGTGCAAATATATACAGATGCATGTGTACTCATCCTCAGATGCAAAAGCACTCATGGCTGCTTGAACGTGTCCCGGTCAGATTATGTTGCTGGTATTTCAAATATGGCTAACATGTGAAACTTCATTACTTATGTAATCAGAACATTTATCAACATCAACATGGGCGAGGGACTTATTTTCACTCCATGATAAAAGACCTGTTTTCTAGAATTGTGGCTCGCTGTCAAAGTTTTGACCAATGGCTTTAGTCCAAGAACTTAAAATTAATCTTTATCTACCAGGTCTTTTTTAAATTAAAATCCGAATTTATAACATCGTTTTTGACAGTCCTTTTTAACTTTACTATAAACTAAATTATTTGTGGGCTCTAGTTGTCTTTGAAAGTCTCGATGTCTAGTTCTGGTGTGAAAATGGCGGTCGTCCCAGCGTGAGCCCATTCCCCATCATCCACCCCCAGCCCAAGGTCTGGAACACATTACATCTGATATTAAACACATGGCAGCAGTTAGAAGGGAGAAAAGGCGAGAGGAGGGGGAAAAAAACAAAGTTTAGAAAAAAGACAAGAAAGCAAAAGAAAAGCGGAGTGGAATTGTCAACGATGTCCCTCCTCCCTCCATTTTTTTCTCCTTTCATGGTTTAATTTTTCTCCTTTCCATTCCTGCTTCTTTAGTTTGTAGCTGCAGTAATTTTTTGAGTAAAAACATCAAAGCTAAATATTTGTATTACAGGGAATTAACTATTATTCAATGTGAAAAGTCTATAGTTTTATGTTTTCTTTGCAGAATTCTTTATCCTAAGTCACCAAAGGTGAATAAAAAACTCCTTTGGTTCTTTGAAGTAATATATAATAGAAAAATATCTAATTGCTACTCCTTCTACTCACTGGTGTAATCACAATGTCATGTATATAATTTATTTATTTTTCTATTGAAAATAAGTCCATGCTATATATTGTTTTTTTGATGTGTGCACAGCATTATTGCTTTTATTCCCCTAGTCTTTATTGAGGACGCAAATAGCAGCTGCTCCTCTAAAGCCACAGTGGACTGCTAAGCAGGTATTTAGCTCAAAGCAAGAAAATAAAACGATCTGTCAAGATGCAGGTGTGTTTTTTTACTTTATCTTCCTTAACCCCCCAGCTCCAAATTCAGGATTTAAGGATTTCTTTTTTAATTTCTACATGAAAAAAACTTTTATATTTAAAAAAACGTAATAATTTAGCAAAGGGATCTTTAACTCAGGTTATGAAGGGTCAGTTTTCTGCAATTTTAGCACAGCCGATTCTAGTATCAGGTCCTTAACAGAGCTCTATAGAGTTTGGCTTTTGCTACAGAGGTAGTTGGGCCATTTGATTCAGGTATTTCAGGCTAGGGTCACATCTAAAATTTGCAGGACAGCTGCCCTGCATGGTTTGAGTTTACGACCAATACTTAACACTACCTGATTGTTTTCAACAGAAATCATAAAATGTGTTAGGATAGATTTTACAATCGGTCCCAGCTATAGGCATTTTGTTGTGTTTAAAAATGTTGAAAAAGTTACATATTGGGACATGGATATGAAAGGGCTCTATGGCCTGAAGACAGGGGTAAGTATTAGCATGTGTTGCAATACAATACGTGTCCCGATACTTTGGTTACAGTGCGATATTATCACGATATTGTAATATCGCTTTATATTGCAACATTTTTCTCAGCTATCAAAATTAAATGTATAGATAAAAAAGCAAGTGCCTTAACTGTTCATCAGAAGCTATTGACAATTTAGTTATTCTAGTATCCAAGGTGTTTGAGTCAGCCCACGTCTTCCACTGTGACTGCCTTGACTACAGATATGGCGTTGCACCGCACAGCAAAAGGGCTCCACAGCTCTATCCGCTAGAGTGGCGGTGCAAACATGGCTCATTTTCCCTCATTGTTTTAGGTTAAAATTTTTGTCCTTTTAAAATTAAAATTAGGAACTGAAAGATCGATATTATATCGGGCAGCCAAAACTCACAATATATCGCCATATTGATTTTTTTTTTCCCCACGCCCTACTGAAGACCTGATACAAGCCTCTTTGAAAAGCAGTTCTGAATTTTTATGACAATAAGGCGCCTTTGAAAATTGTCTGATCCTTTATATGAATTTATTTTTGCTGGTAGCACATGTGTTGGCCCTGCACATGATCACTGTGTCACTCATCAATCAAAGCTGTAGATCAGCTTATTTTTAGCCCTAGTAGATAATGAGGGAGGGATTGAAATGGTCAATGGGACTGCATGGTAGAGAATATCTTTAGGCATCGACCATGCCTAAAGAATATCACCACCAAAGCAGTTTTTACTGGATGGATATAACATTCTTCTCTCTGATCAGGTGAAAGTTTGTCAGTGAGACAAGCTCTCGATTAAATCCAAACTCTGTGTGGAAAAACCAAGAAAAGCTACTTTTCATCCAGCTGGAATAGATCACCATTTTGCCTCTTTTAGAAAAATTCCTAAACTTGTTGGATTCTTCTTCCCCCCCAGGTCGTCCTCTGTGAGGGTACTCTGGGAGTCGATGCTTACAAGCAAACATAAAGAGGCTTTGATGGAAGTGCGTCGTCACCTGGTGGAGGCGGCCACCAAAGAAAAGCTGCCAATCAAGATGAGCATGGGTAAGAATGTGAATGCCATATGTAACGGTAACAGCTGTCGAGGCAAAATGTTAGAGTTTTAAATTTGCTGATGGTGCTCCTTGTACCATTTAAACTGTTTAAAGTACCTGTAATAGATTTTCCCCTGGAAGTATAGACTGGGGATTTCTCTGATTTTATGAACCATAAAGTACATCAGCCCTGAGGTGTTGCTATACCTTGCCTTATTAAAAGGCTACCAAACTTTTTTCTTTCTTGAAAAATAGACTCATTTGGCTTAAAAAAATATGCCTAATTGACTGAAACACATTCTTAGTTTGAAAACTGAAAGAACTTTTAATCCCTCTACTAATGAAAATAGAGCATCATGCGTGTGCAGTAGCCAGCTGCTTGCTTGCTACCCATGCAGATAGCCTAACTAACTGGGGGAGTGCGCTTAACCCCCAATTGCTCCCTGGGCGCCGCACAATGGCAGCCCACTGCTCCCCAAGGGGATCGGCTAATGCAGAGGTAAATTTCTCATATGTAAGATCAATAAAGTTCATTTATTCTTCTTCTTATTATTAACTAGCTATCCAATTATGGCGTATTTTCTGTGCCACCGTCCTGAGCACGCAGTTACCACTCTGAGCGCACAGAGAGACCGGTGTGCAGCATTTTTACTCACACCTGTTATCTCAAAAGATGTCCAGTGTGTGGTAAACTCTGTCAAACTCTGAACCGCCTCCTGGGCATTTGAAAAAGTTTGTCCAAGCCACCTTAGCTGACTCTTCTTCATTGGAAGCAGATGTGGTTCTACTCCAAGCCTCTCTATGATGGCGGTTCAACTCATCCTATATCTAATGTGTACACCGAACACATTTTCTGACTCAAAGCATCTGATTTACCTGCAAAGTCTAACATCGAGAGTTCCAGTGACGTGTCCGAGCATCGGGAGTCGTTCATCTGAGCATTGTGTCATCTGAGCATCCGAGCGCATATTGCTGGATTTCAAAATTTAAACTTTTGCCACTGGACACTGAAGCGTCAACCTATCAGAAAAGTTGAACCAGGATCTCTTCTGCAGAGCTGTCTGCATATGAAAAATAAACAAATATAAAGGAGTTAAACTCTAAAGCAGATGTCATGAATTAGCAGACTGTGGTCCAGATCCGGACCCACCTGTTGGCTGATCAAGTTGGGTCCGGATTAGCGAACAGGTAGGTCCAAATCTGGACGATAAGAAAAAAAGGGCAGAGAAAGTGTGGACTGCTTGAAGAAGCTCAGTGAACTGGTGACAGAAAAATGAAAGATGACCCTGCACATTTTGAGTATGTTTGGCTCAACCTGCTGCTTTGAAGCAGATTTCTCCATTATGACAATAATAAAAAATAAATATGGATCCAGGCTCAAAATGAGCACCTTGATATGTGCTTTAGAATGGCTTTGTCGCCATTCAAACCCAGGTTTAAAGCTTTGTAGGGCAGCATAAAGCCCACTGCTCTCATTAAGCCATAAAAAAGAAAGAAAAAAAAAATAACAGTCAGTTCAGGTGTTTTATAAAAAAGATGTGAATCAGGAAATTGTCTATAAACCAAACTGAACGATTGTTGTTCTCTACTTCAAAAAACACTTTAGATTTAGAAATATATATTCTTTTTTATTTTTTAATTAAAAATTCAATGTATAACATTGATGCATAAACACCGCAATTTATTTCAGTGTTAAATTCTGTTTTAAGTAACAGATTATGATTAAAAGTGTGTTCGGACCTTTACTGGTTATTGATTTTCTTTATTCGGACGCAGCTAATTTTTAATTGGTTACCCCTACTCTAAAGGTTTAAAAAGAAACCCAGGAGATCTTGTTTGTTGTGAATGAACCTTTAGGTAGTGCCCAGACAGACTGGTGAGAAAGCTGATTTCGGACACTTGTATACGGTATCTCTTTCTTTTGTTCAGGATGCAGATATCCTGACCATAGGTCAGGGTTTGAACAAACACTGACCGGTAAACCAAAAGCCTTTTTGCTCAGCTCTCTCTTTACCAAAATGGATCGATATAGCATCTGCATCATAGTGGCAGCTACACCAATCCGTCTTTCACACTTGTTGCTTTGTTACTTTTCTTTCAATAATAAAAGCAGTAAAATCATGTTATTGATGTTCAATAGTTCTACCTGAAGTTATTTAGTTATTAGGATATAACACCAGTGCTTAGTCAAAGAATTATATGAAGATATTTACTCTTGAGTAGAAGCAAACGGCTGTTTTTCAGTGTTTTGCTGCAGGACTTGAGCCGATCCCACTGAGATCCAGCTTCTCTGGCTTGCTGTGTATTTGCACATGTGGCCTCATAGGAAATCTGAACCACATGTTGGCTGCATGACACACACTCGCACAAACACACATGTTCACTCGGCCTTTTGCACACACTGCTTCTTCGAAAAACTTTTGTTGTTCGGTAATGAAGCAAAAGGGTCTGCAGCGAGGGATAAAAATATGTGCAGGCACGCAAACGTACAGTCGCTGCGTGCACGCTACACTGCCCTGGTGAACGTTCAATTTCGTACTTTTCTAGCATGTACACAGTCATGTCATGTCTAACATTCAGGTTAACATCTGGCAGAGATGGGGGCTTTTAAAAGGGAGGGGTCCTGTTGGTCCCCTAGCTCCTATAATTTTTGAGGTAAAGAAAGGTCTCATAAGAAGATCACACACTTGCAAACAGCCTATAAAGTTTTTGCATTGTGCAAATTGTGCTCTCGTTTCACACTTATGTAATGAAGGTCACATTTTCAAAATGTGAATTTATTTGAGAAAATTCTTTTTAGGTTTTAGGAGTGACAGTAAAGTCATGAGTGTATGAATAAGGAGGGGAATTAAAGTGGCCGCTGCCTGCTGACTGACAGTCTGTTGATTTAATGTCTATGCTGAGAGAGAAAGAGGGAGAGAAGGGAAAGAGAAGAGAGAAGGGGGTACTGTAAGTCCCCTCACACACTGAACCTTTATACCAGACTGGCAGAGGACCAGAAACCCCCCACTCTGTCCTCCCTGTGCAGATCAGCATCACCAGAAAGGCTCTCACTGCATCAGACTATCCTGTTCAGCTCTCTAGAACACTTAGGTTTTTTTCTGGCCTTGTCCAAGTTAATTCTCACACTTTTTGTTTTTTGCAGATAAAATACTCGAGTGTGCGGCAGGACCTCATACGCTCTCCATGGTCTTGTACGCCCTCAGACCTAACTTGGCTATTTAGCAGAATTGGATCATCCAGAGAGACACAGAGAAAATAATCCATGTCTTAGAGCCCGAGGTTGACCTGTTAACGATCTCATAGGATGTAATAGGATTGTAATAAGATGATGAAATTTCCCCAGTGTGTGAGGACCTGTTTGTCTTGGGTGTTTTAGCTTCTGAATGTAACTTTTATAGTTGGATATTAGTATTTGTAATTGTGTTTATGTAAATATTAATCAGCTTTAATAGATAGCAGAATAGCTTGTACTGGTTGTCAAGTACAATGGTGAGTAACCCTCTTAATCATGGTTACCGAGAGGGGTTTTGTCTGGAGGAGACTCGTATAGCTGCCTATCATTTGCACCTAGTCACCCTCCATCCCGTTTGGATCTAACAGATACAGCAGGCATCCAAGGTTACCTGAAATAAGTTTGGTAAATGATCTTCTTAAGACTCGTACATATACTTTATGTACTTGTCGTCTTCTGCTTTATCCTGGACCGGGTCAAGCGGGCAGCAGTCTCACCAGAGACTTCCCTCTCCCCAAATGCCTCCCCCAGCTCTGCTGGGTGAAGCCTGAGGTACTCCCAGGCCATCCGAGAGACATAGTCCCTCCAATGGGTCCTGGGTTGTCCCCTGGGACGCCTCCTGGTAGGATGTGCCTGGAACACCTTCTGAGCGAGGCGTCCAGCGGGCAATCGAAAAAGTCTGAACCACCTCAGCGGACTCTTCTCAAGGCAGGAGAGAAGAAACTCTATTCCGAGCATCTCCCAGATGACCAAGCTCCTAACCCTATCCCTAAGGAATTGCCCACCCTATTGAGAAAGCTAATTTTAGTCGCTTGTATCCAGGATCTTGTTCTTCTGGTCATGATGAGGGTAGGAACATAGAACCACAAGTAAATGGAGAGCTTTGGCTTTTCGTTCAGCTCCCTCTTCACCACAACAGACCAACGCAGCGTCTGCATTATAGCAGTAGCCGCACAGATCTGTCTATTGCTCTATTCTCCTTCCTCACGATACTTGAGGCAGAAACTCTCTTCCAACCTGAAGGGGACAAGTCGCCTTTTTCCAGTCATCTTAGGTATAAAAAGAGAAGGAAAAATAAATGCCCATAATGCATGATGAAGGCTCTCTACAGAGATATTGTATATGCAATGTCTAACGTGTTCTGGCATGACTTTATCTGCCTAAAAGGTGCATAGAAATGAACAAAGATCTGGTGAGGTGAAGACTCCAGCAAATGTTGAAGCATTGAGAAGCCAATTTTATTAACAGACTAAGGCAATTTGTCTTGTGGGAGTCATTAAGGTCAACAAGGACAGCCTTCTAAATTGGTTTCTTTGTACCTCAGGAGTCACTGAAGGTTTCTTTTCTCTGCATGCAAAATTTCCTCATCAGTAATATTAGTTGAAATGAAACTTTCTTAGGGCAATCTAAAGAGAAAAGAATAAAGTTGATCAGTTTCAATATCAAACTCACAGCTTTAATCTTTTTCATTTGGAAGCATTTCAGGGATTGACAATAAAGTAATTTTTATCATCGTTTCTGTTATTGAATATTACATTTTTTTTCACAAACGCACTTCTTGGGCTTCCATTGTTCAAGGTGAGATTAGTTTGTCTCATTTGTTTTAGACGTATGCTCATAATTGATAAACTAGCTCACTGCGTAATATCACATGCTGCAAACATTTTGCATGTCATGTTTTCATCCTTTACAGTTGCAGCGCCTGCCATCTTTTTTTACAAGTATAGTTTTACAAGCACATGGATGAGTTTATTTTTATCATCTGTCTTTTTTTT